AACTTCCTAATTTAATCAAATTAGTTAAATAGGTCTTATATTAAGGACCAGAGAGAGTAGTTTGTAAGAATTTAACATATGCATCAAAATAAAAACCCTATAACATGTGTAATTGCCATGAGGATTGGGAAAAAATAAATAAATATGAAAAATAAACTGTGTTGGGATTTTATATTTAGAATTAAATTAAAATTTAATTAGCTCTTATATTTAGAACTTGAAGAAATACTACAATTAGTTGCAAATTAAACCAATGAAGGCCCTAAAATTCCCAAAGGAAGAACTTGTTACTGAAAATGAATCTTCGGGGGAAGCAAACTAGTATATTAAAACCAATAACCGTAACTCTATTTTTGGTATGAGAAAATTGGAGTGAAAGAAAAAGAAAATTTTAATGAGCTTGATTTAAAAAAATTAGAGAAGTTAAATTATAAAATTTTAATAAACAGAAAAAATGAAATAAAAGAGTAACTTAAAAGCTTTTAACCCTAACTTTTTAATTTTTTTTAAATGAAACTTGCTAAAATTTCTCTCCTCTCCCTTCGTCTTTTATTTCCTTTATACGAAATGGACCCTAAGTGTTAGATCGCAATGCGTTGCAACATAACAGCTTCTCTTCAAAACATGGATTCTACTTAGTGTCTATTTGGGAGAGGGACTGGGAAGGAAAAAGTCATATGATTGAGAGTTCAAAAGTAGCTTAATATGTGAGGTATTTGTTTGGATGAGTGTTGGATTTTAAAGCAGAGGTTAATCTCAATCTAAAAAAATCATAAGCTATTTTGAGTTGCTTGTAAGAAAAATTGCTTTTTAAAAGTGGAGAGAGAAGAGAGAAACTTATGGGTTCCGCTCACTTTAATAGGAAAAAAAAATGATAAAACTGCTATACCAAATACCATTTTGTTTTTATTTATAAGTTACTTATACTTTAAACTCACAAATTAAGAAACGTATTAAATTGATAATTTTTTCATATTTTCTCTTATTAAAGAAAGGGTATTAAAAATATGTTTTATATTCCCTCACCTATTTATTTTATTTTTCTATCTATATTTATTAAATCAGCAAGGAGTAAAATTTAAAAAAAAGCTAATTAATTATACTACAAGTGATTTTTTATATTATGTAAATTTATTTCTTTATTATTTTTTATTATCTAATAAAACTCATACCTATTTTGATAATTATAAAAATTAAGCTTATTTTTATTCAATCCTAATCTAAACAACTTTTTATCTAATCTAATTTTTACAAATTAATTTTTATAAAATCCAATCGAAACACAATTCATATTACTTAATTTAATTTTTACTCAATCTAATTTTTTTAAAAATCAAATTGATAACAAACTATTTTTCTAATCACAATCCAAATGAACCGCATGTATGTCTGCTGCGTGGCATATGTGAAACTATTCCACGATGTTAATATTTATTTTTTTCCCCTGTATTTTCCTGACAGACATGACAGCTTTGTTTTTATTTTGTTTTTTGTTTTTTTAATTACCGTTTGCTTGCTTGTTTCTCCGAATTCTTTGTATTTTCTTTTATTTATAAAAATGATCTTTTGTTAAAAAAATATTTACATAAATAATTTTTTATAATTTTCTAAATATATTTTATTCATTAAATTTTACTTCTTCTATTAAAATAATTTAAAATTATTATATTTTGCTAATTTATTTTTTTATTATTTAAGAAAAGTCATATCTATTTTAGTCATTTTATAAACAGAACTTACTTATTTAATTATAATCAAAATAATTTTTATTTTTACAAACCAACTTTTATAGAAACAAGTCCAAACATAGACCACGGGCCCTAAACTTACTAGTGATTGTTACCTCAAAATACTAACTACAAGTATGGATAATCCTGACCAATTGTGTAGCTTTCGCCAGGAAGCTGATCAAATTAAATATACGGCAACACCTTCCTATGGTGATAAGAAAAAAATTGTTAGTCATACAAATTAAATAAAACTGGGTCCCTCTTAATGAAGAAGAATAGGCATTCAGATTAGTCAATTAAACTGATACAATCAAGTCCAACTCAAGGTCCCACCAATTAATGCCATTATTGAGAAAAAATTATTGACTTGTTTGGTTTCTTGTTTTGAAAATAATGTTTTGTTTTTTTTAAAAAAAACTTGTTTGGCAATTTGTTTTTAGTTGATTGTTTTAAAAAACAAAAAAACAATAATACGTTTTTAAAAACTGAAAAACCAAAATAATTTTTACATGTTTTCTTGTTTTTGTTTTTGTGTTTTTTATTTTTTTATTTTGAGAAGTTGGAGAAATCTTCTTCTCTTTTCCTCTACTACCTACTATTTATTATTACCGGTGATAACTACTACTTGTTAAAATATAATTTTTTATATTTTTTTCCAAATGTGATTTTTAAAAAATTATTTTCCAAACAATTTTTTTTGTTTTTTGTTTTCAAAACTTGTTCTTAAAAAACAATTTTATAAAATTATTTTGAGAATAAGAAAACAATGAACAAAAACAAACAGGCCCTATAATTCTGGTGACTTTTCGAAGGATGCTGGCCTGGAGAAGTTGAGAAGTTTTTCGAGTTATTTCTGTAATAGCAATAATATTTGTTCCTAGTCATCCGATCTTAAACCCTGGATGGGTGCAATTAGACATAAAATGGTCAAGGATTAATTGCTAACTAAGAGCCGAGCATCCCTCGTCACTTTAGCTACCTTTGGAAAATTTTCTTACACAATTATTCTAGTCCTTTTGTCATGTTACTCCATTTCATTGCATCCATAATAGAAGTCCTGAAAGCACAAAATTCTTATGTCATGGGAGATTTATAAATGATTTAGTTTTATTTTTTTAGTAATTAGGATATCTAAATGGTATGATACACAATTAAGTACACATTCGGAAATGCTATTATTCAAGCGAATTATATACTGAAACTTATAAATTACATTTTGTATTTTTATTCTTGAGTTACTATTAATTTGGTATTTTCAAATTTTAGTCTAACTTTAAAAATTCATAACTAATTAATTATATCATATTTGGAACATAGGTCTAAACTAGACACTTTACTTGACGCTACTTTTTTGAAATGTTTATTGCTTTCTTTCTTGCTTGCTTTTTATTGCACTTTTTACCTTCCATATTTAGGAATTGTGATGAGATTTGAGAAAATTTCAGTAGCATAATAAACTATTCAAGCACTCAGTGTGCATGCATTCACAAGGTATTGTCAATATAATGTAAACTAACACATTAAAACATGCATGATCAAACATGGATATAACACATGGCCATGCTATAAATTCAACAAAACATAACATATTCATATGATCACATGTAATACAACTTTACCGATCATGCTTTACAACAACCAAGCAGAACTAAAATGTAAGCATAGGCAAAATGCTGTACATTTGACCAAATCTTTCTCTTGAACTTCTTGTTCATTTTGAGGCCCTTGGCAAATATCCATATTAAAACCTAACCCGGTTCAGCCAGTTTGATTATAGTAAACCAGTCTCTTGGTTGGTGCAGTTAAATTTTACTTTATTTTTTTTCTCTTTATTAAACTTGAAACAATGTTGGCTTGGGCATTGCATCATATTTATACTTTAGTATTTCTATTTTGTTGGATTATGTGTAATTTATACAGGAATAGTTCATTTACTTGTGAATTAATGTCTTTTTATTTAATATTATTACTATTTCAAGGTTATATTTCAATGTTTGCATATTTAATTAAATTATTTTATTTTATTGATAACCGCTTTAACCCTAAGTTAGCTTCAGTTTAAACCACTAACTCTTGAACTATTGTCTCAACTCTCAACCTCAATAACCAATCCAATTTTCAATATCTCTTGCAAATATCAAAGTTCAAGTAAAGGTTGAACACATTGCGTATCATTCCCCATTCAAATCTCATAATTAATTGCATAACAGTAACTCTTCCTTGACCTTAAAACTTAAATTTTCGGATTTTACATCCAACTGGTTTTAATTTAATTCCACATGCCCTTCACTCATAATTTTACATGTAGAATTCATTTCTAACATAAAATTAGACAAGATCTCATTCCTTTCCTAAGAAATCACTAAGGTCATTAGGCTTTTCTTGAACAATAATGAGACTGAATGTGTTTTAAATTATTTTTTAAAATATTTTTATTGCAGTTTAAAATTATTATGAGTAAAGTTTAGTAGTTTCGAATTTATTTATTCATTTCTTGATAGTTTAAAATTTTATTACTATTTTTAAAAAATAAAATTTGAACCACTCAAATTTCAATCCCAGCGTGGAGATATAGGTATTAGAGAGGAAGTGGATGGAAATAGTAGAAGAGAAAACTCAAGTCCGATTTCTTTGCATCTCACTTGAATGTTGAGTTAATTATTTGCTTGAAGATCTCTTTCTCAATTTTTAATTTGATACTTATACATTTTTTTTAATTAAGTCATTTAATTTTGATATGTATGTCAGCACCATAAACCCATGTAAAGGGGTAACAGTGTTAATAAAGTTAAACGATTTAATCAAAATGAAACTTGAATTTGGAAATGCCAAAATGGTCAATATCGTAAATAGCCCGTATCGTTTGCTTGGAAACTGAAGATACCTCAAAGGTGTAAATCGTTTGTTTGGCTCATGCTTCATGGAAGACTCATTACGAACAATGGGTTTTGTTACAAATGTTAGCAAGAGGTGGAATCTGAAACTCATGTACTTAGAGACTGTCATGATATCCATAATTTCTGGGAACACATCATTCGACCAAAATTCCTTCACCGCTTCTTCCATAGAAACTTCCAAGACTAGGTCCAAGTCGGTCTTATTGAAGAGAGCTGGAAGGACATTTTTATCATCATCTGTTGGCTTCTATGGCGAGCAAGGAATGAGCTCACCCATACCAGCATTACCATGGAGTTTTCTACGATTCTGCCGCGAGCTCGCACGATTAAGGCTTGCATGGTTGACTCGTCTCGTAAACTTAGAGGGGTCAAGATGAACACACCTCAGCAACATGCTTCAAAGTTTAGTACCGGACAACTGAACGATGTGCTTGAGATTGAGGTGGATGGAGCTTTCTCTGAACAGAATGGTAGAGTAGAGCATATGGCGGCATCCTCAAATATCATGACAACGACATTATCAAAAGCTTCCTGCTGAGAGTGAAACAGGGTGATAATCTCACTACAGCATTATGGGGTTGCTTAATGGGCTTAAAACGTGCTTGGGATCTGGGAGAAAAGAAGGTTATTCTTCGCTGTGATTCTTCTGACGCTGTTCAACTTATCCTTGAGGAGGAAAATAGTCTCCACGAAGACGGATCAATTATCCATGAAATCAAAACCATGCTGAAGCGGAGCTGGCAAGTCGACTTTCTCATTATTAGCAGAGAGCAGAATTATTTGGCAGACGCGCTAGCGAAGTAGGCACTTGGAAGAGAACTAGGTCTACACGTTATAAGCGCAAGGATACTGTCACTTCGATGGTGGCAGCACTGGCGTAGTTTTATTAGTTTTATTTGCTTTCCAGCTTATCAAAAAAAGGAAGCAACTATGCGGATTTGCTCATACTTTTTATATATATTATTTAGTTGATTAATTTAGAAAAATTAAAAAAACTATAAATTAATTATAGCATATGTTATATGATATTATAGAAATACTTATGTATGTTATTAGATTATGCGTCGGTTCATAAGTCACATAAATTAGTTTTCAATAACATTTTTATATTGACGTATATTTTTATTTTTATTTATTCAATAAATCTAATTAAATGATTTTTAATACTTATAAATTTTTCTAATTATGTATTAATTCTCTTTATTTTAATTTATTATTTTTATTTAATCATATTCTTGAATTTAATAAATTTATTAGATATTAATTAAATGATATATATTATAAAACTCATGTTCTTTTCGGTCATTTTATATCTAAATTTATTTTTTATTACTTATCCAAACAGGTTTTAATTTGTCAAACTAACATTTTTCATAATAGTCAATCTAATTAACTAACTTTTATCTTAACTGACTTTCACAAAAATCAGATTATAAAAAAGTTACTTTCACTACCGCTAATACAAGTATACTAAAAATTGGTTGAAACAAATTTTCAGTCACCCGCATGTAGAGCCCAAAAACTAATTTGCTCCTAAAATATTAATTAAAAGAAATACAACTCAAAGGTGCAAAAGCTTGAAGATATACTAGGAATAAAGACGTTGGTAAGCTTCTTTTAGAAGTACTCATGCGTCTCTTATTATAAGATCTAATTTTTTGAATTGGTTTGTTTCTATTTATAAGATCCCTTTTGAGTCTGTCTAAATAATAAATGTATTTTTATTCACTTTACCCTTACTCCTTTGGTCCAATTTATAAGGTAGAGTGAGAAGTTTTATTTAGTTCTATTTATAAGCACCTTATTAAATTTTCAGCATGAATGTACTATTTTGTTCTTCATTTATTATAATATAGGTAGTTATTTCTTTTAAAATATGTATATATTAAATATGGGTAAAGTTAAAAAATTGTTATATTTTAATGGAGAGTTCATGCATTTTAAGATTTTTTTTTCTGTGTAAAATATGTTAGAAATGTCTTATAAATAGGACCAGAGAAGTAATTATTATACTCCCTCTCATTATCCTTTTTTCATACATTCTCTCTCTTTTTTATTCCTACTTACACCTATCCACTTATAAATAAGAACATATTTGGAGGGAAAAAATATATTTCTAATATATTTATTATTTTAAACTAATTTTAACTATTTTATTAAGTCACGTAACGTAGTTAAGTGGAGGGAGTATAGCTTTCAACGACATCTTGGCCGTAGCTATCGTACAACCTCGTCGCTGTTTCTCATTGGCTGATCTAGCCTCCGTATCGGTTGGGCTGGTACCCTTGGCTCCCTCGGGTATCTGCTTCCCTTCCCACGCCTCTGCTTGATGAGCTTTTTTTTTTTTTTTTTTTGGTTGGTGATAATTCTTACATGGTTTATTATTTAGTTATTTTATACTTCTAATGCTAAATCTGCATGGGACTATATTTGTATCCTAATCTTTGTCTTGTGTGCTTAATGAGATCTAGAGCAAATAAATATAGACACTGACAAACTCAAATGTTGCTCTGCTCTGTGGGTAGAAAATAAAATGCAACAGGGTGTCTGAAATTAGAATTTGTAGGTACAAATTCAAATGTGATGGTCCTTCCAGAGTGACAACGAAATTCCAATGTGGTGGTACTTCGAGAGTGATTCCGTTAATGAAATGGGAATTTGTATGTATATTTCTAGTTTGACAGGATTTAGAACTGACTAGTGCGTATGAAATGAGAATTTGAAGACCAGATTTCAATTTGGCTATCCGTCTCTTTTATTCCATTCAAAACTTGTTCAACATTCGCGAATTTTTTTACCATCTGCCCATCTGCATTCCGTCAAAATCACATCCACAAAAAAAAAAAAAAACAAAAAACAAAAATCCTAGAAAGTACCCGCCGAAGCCATAAAGTTAAATGATGGTGGATATTGTCGAAGGAAAGGGCCAGATTTTGGGTTTTTTGAAAATGCTTTTTGATAAATCTCTATTTTAATATGTTATTTGATATTTTTTTGGAGATATTTATTAATTAAAATGGGATAATTTGTATTGATTGCAGGTATTTTGTATTAAATACTGATTGCATGAAATTAGAAATCTAAAAGGAAATCTTATAGCATATTTTTTTTACCTCTTTTTAAATAATTGATTGTGGGCTTTATAATAGTATCTTAATTTATCTTTTGCAGACCTTAAAAAAGAAAATAAAAATAAAAGAAAAACTGAAAGGAAAAAAAAAAAGGAAATTGGAGAGGCAATTAACTTGGGCATCAAGATTTTTCTAATTAATTTACGAGTTTGGTAAGTGTGGAATTTTGCTGTGGAAATACAGAAAGCTAAATCCTTTCAAACAATTCCAGCAGAAATAAGGGGGGAGGAGGTGAGCAGAAGGTGGATAACCCCTGAAAAGGACTGGGTTAAAGTTAATTCGGATGGTTCAAGCAGGGGAAATCCAGGACGAGCGGGATGCGGTGGGGTGATTCGAGACCACCATGGGGCTTGGATCGTGGGTTACTGTAGAGATGTGGGGTGGAGCACAGCCTTTGAAGCAGAATGTTGGGGGGCGGGTGAAGGAATAGAGGTGGCGAGGAAACTGGGTTTTCAAAAAATTCATCTTGAAATTGACTCTGAAGAGCTTCTTTATGCTTTGAAAGGGAAGGAGATTGAAGGAGGAAAACCGCCTAATTGTGTGAGGATGATGAGAGAGGCTGTTGAACGCTGCAAGCAATTTAGATTTTCTCTTACTCGCAGATCGGGCAACCAGTGTGCTGATGCTATGGCAAAGTTGAGTCTTGAGAAAGACCTGGGAAGAGAATGTCAATTATTCTTTGAGATTCCTCAGGAAGTTGTGCGGGTGGCAAGAGATGAAGAGGCGCAGATGATCTGGAGAGACACGGGTTGAGGATAGTAGTTTTGTGTTGGTTTTGTCTTTTCTTGTTTTTAGGCCTTGGGCCTCCATACTACCCAAAAAAAACTTGGGCATCAAGATATCAGATTTTACTTATATATTTATTGATTATTGATTGAGGGAGAAGGAGAGAACACGCATATATGTACACAAGGCGCACAACCGATTAATTTGGTTACCCTCCTCATAGCCAAATACCCAGCCACGCCGCAAACATCAAAACACATATACACAGCCGCACGCGTCCTCTCTCTCACGCCATACAACTCTTCTTTCTTTTCATCAAGACCAGTGACGCCCCTTGTTTCCTATTTTTTCTACAAATAATCTCCACACCCGCTCTCTTATCATACATAACCTTCAGCGATTCTCATTACTTCAAACTTATTATGGATTCTTCTAAAGCCATGAGAGACTAATCTTATTGTGCTTCTTAGAGATGGAAGAGTAGCTTGAGCTTGGAGCTTTAACTAGAAGAGTATTTAGTTTTTCTAATTAATTTTCTCCTGAACTTCATTAGATTTTTCCTGTGTTAGGAATGTTCTTATTTATTTTGGAGACTGAGATTATGTGTTATAATTTCTGTTAATTGGATTTTTACAATTTAATTTGAGTTGTAGGGATGTCACGCCCCAAAAATTTAGAGGTGATCGGCACAGAATATAAGAGAATTCACATTCCTTAAGCCTTAAAACAACTCATTAAATACTTAATATAATTATAATATGATTTCTAATATTACAATTAATGTAATAATCTTCACAATACATCTATCAATTCTAAATCACATATATTTTCCAAAAAAAAAAATGTTTACATTAATTTAGAAATCTTTCAAATGATACTTGAACTCTAAGCCAATTGTGTAATAAACTCTGTGATAAGCAGGAGGAACAAGGTCAATTACACTATCTGAGGGTTAAAATAATTTATTGGTGAATAACGTCTTGTCAATAAGGTAAGAGAAACAAATGTTGAAGGAATAAATTATGCATATTTAATTCTATCAAATAAATGATTTGCCATTGCTTCCAATTTCTAAGTGAACCATTAAAACATAAAAGAAAATATGTAAAACAGTTTTGATATGCAAAACTAATTAAATAACTCATTTATAAAACTAAATCATGAAATAGCGTGAAAACCTAGCTTCGGTTGAGGACTGTAATAGAACGAGCAATAAGTGGGGACACACAGTCCATGAGGGCAAGTAACCATCAAGCATGGTCGAAACCATGAATACAAGCATGGGGATAGTGCCCACAAATGTCACGCGACCTTGGTGTTAACCATGGCGCACCAATACAAGTACAGCTGAAGCCACGAATAACAAGTACGATCGAAGCCACGAATAACAAGCGCAGTTGAAGCCACAAATAACAAGCGTGACCGAAGTCATGAATAACAAGCGAGCTTGAGCTTAATCCTAATGCACCAAGGGCTAACAGTACCGTTCTATATTCATCCCTCTTCAAAACATTTCCAAGCATGCATGGGATCAGTTTACCATTAACAAATAGAAAGGATTTTTTTTCCTAATGATAAAATCTCAAAAACAATGCTTATAACAAAAGATCCCACCATGTAAGTTTTGAAATAACATAGCATAAACTTTTCTTTCAATGTCCATGTATGAATGTTCATAAAAAACAAAATATTGAAGAGGAAATATTCTCAAGTAAAGTTCTTGTTCTATGCAAGCAATGAATAATATCTTCCAAGAGTTAAAACATTAAAAATATCCAATAAATGAAAAGGAAAAATGATGAAATTAAAAAAATGCATTTGATAACTGATAATTTAATTAAATTGGTAACAAGCAGTAAAAATATCATTTGTGAAAAATATTATGGGATGCTATTCACTTACTTGTTGCGCACCCAAAAGTATAACCTACCCCTACTAACCAGTTTCGGGCTCATATACACCCCTAACCTCCTAATACCCAGAACAAACCATCATTTTTCTTCTTTATAAACCTATTGAATTCACAACGTTATTCATGTCATCCAGGTCTTAATTTCAATAATAAATAATTCTTACACCATAGGTAATTCAGTGTTACCATTAACATGCTCAAGTAAGCAAAACCAAGTTCTTCATAATTTATAGAACATTTAATGATTCTCTGTTTCACCTAATCCATCAAACGCTTTATGGCCATTTAAAAATCAAATTATAGACAAATATTGTAACATACTGAAAAAAAATTGTAAATAAAAAAAAATATAAAATAATAATATTTTATTATTAAAAAAAAGAGACAACTTTCCACCGAATCGGTGGAAAGTTGGGGGCAAAGAAGAATTTGGGAGGGGGTGTATTAAATGAAAGAGGAATGTTGAGGGGGAGTGTTAAATGGGTTGGAAAAAAAATGGAAGGTAATAAATGAAAGAAGAAATTGGATGGAAGAAAAAGAGGGGGAAAGTATGATGGAAGTGGAAATTTGGAAGAGGAGCCGTGAAAAAATGAAACATGGGGGTATTATATATATATATATATCATCATTCCCTGGTTATTTCCTTCAAGCAAGAGCAAGAGAGTGCGGGAGAAAAAGAGAGAGCGAGAGAAAAGAAAGAGAGCGAGAGGAAGAAAGGAAAATCAAGAGAGTGTGGAAGTACATGCTGTCTGAAGGATAGGAGAATATTTGAGGATCATTTAGGTACACAAATATACTTCTTTTTATCAAATTTTCTTTATGAATATTTTCTATATATTTATAGCTTTTTATTATTAGTATCATTATAATGTTTAGAGAAATTTTTACTTTGGGTATAGAGTAAATATGGACTTTTGACAATATGTGACTGTAGAAATTTAAAGATCCATTATTAAGGAATTTTAATTGGTTTATTTTTGTTGAATGATTATTTTGAGAATTTTAAACTAAGATTTTAGTTGAAAAATTTGTTATTTAGACTTGTAATATGTTTTTACCGATTAAATTAGAGTTAAATAATTTATTTGAGTTATTTAATATATTATTGAGGTTTTAATCAGTTTAAATATTGAATAAGTTAAAGATATATTTTTGAAATAATTTTTGAAGGCTTAAAAAAATTGTAAATTGAGAATTTTGTGAAATTAGATAAAGTTATAGTTTGTTTATAATTTAAAGAAGTTGTTTGGTTTGAGAAAAAATTTTAATGAGATTACAATAAATAATTGAGAATTTTAATGTAAAATATTTATATTTTGGGTAATAAAAATATATTTACTTAATTTGTTAACTTTAAATAGCCTTATATGTAAATTATATTTTTCAAAATAATATTATATCTATTATCAATGGCTTGATTTGGGAGAGTTAATATATTTATGTAATTTTGGTTTAGAGGGTAGTTTTAGAATTTTAGAGTAGTTTTGGAGTAGTTCTGAGTTTATATTAATAAATATTAATGTGCAATTTTGTAGACTCTTGAGAATTTTGGAGTACTCTTTGTGAATACTTGTAAGCTAGAGTACCAGGTAACTCTGAAAATTCTTTCTTGTACATGTGAATTGTGTATGATTGTATTATGAATTTATTATATTTTTATATATTGAAATATAATATTGTGATTTTTCAAATAAATATTTTGGTATGTTATTTGATTTTGTTAAGATTTATTGCTATTAATTATGATTAATATTTAAATATATTGATGGTTATGGAATTGTCATGAGTTGCTATTAAATGGTATATAAGTTTTATTGCTATCTTATTTTTAATATATTTGCAGACATATTTATGATGTAATATTATTGGCATCTGATATGCATTGTTGAGCTAATGATAGAAGGAGATTGCATGGATATAAAATTACCACGTGGTATGCCATCACTCGGTGCACAGTGGATGGTACTTGTCAGGGCCCCTTCTTCCATGTTTTCCTTTGGCCGAGAATTCATTGGAGCTGTAGGACATGTGACACCTCCCTATTCACAAAGGAGGGGAGCCATAGTCTGAGCTTAAGCTCTGTATCTTTGGCCGGATATATCTCTAGTATCGGTGAGCTTGGAATAATTCAGTAAAATAGATTAGTTCCTATCGGACTATGTGTTAGCTTATGACGCCAGTCAGCGGTATAAGGATGGATGGTGATATAAAGGAGGCAGCATATTGCATTATTTTTGGATATATTAGAAAAATGATATTGGTATATTAAAAAAAAATGAAATTGAATTGGATGTATCAAATCCGTGATTTTTAATATATTTATATACACACATATAAATAGATTTTTGGTTTATCATATATGATTTGTTTGTATAAGTTAGAATTTTAGTAGTTACTGAGACGTTTGATCTCACCCCCTATATTAACAATTTTCAGGCGAAGGATCTAGTACGAATCAAGGGAAGGCATCAATGGAGTGAGCCGTGAAGGCTTTTGTGCTCCTCAAGTACATGCTATGTTATATTTTTATTTGCCATGACTATAAGACTTTAATAGTTTATGTTGTTAAGTTATGTTAGAAATGTTTTGAAATTTTGACTTGTTTGCAGTATTAGAAATATGTATGGACTTTTAAATTAAATATTTTATTGTGTATATTGATATAATTATGTGAGGTGTTACAAATATCTTAATTCATAAACTGCCATTCATGCACTCCCAAGCATTAATATCAATATAGTCTCTTAAGTTTACTCAATCCAATTTCTTCGCAAGGCTTATATGAGTTCTTGAATTATCATCCGACTTCATTTTAAAACATCATAAAATTTCACTGTTTCCAACTTTATCATTAAGCAAGATTTAAATGAAACTCCTTTGAAGACAATTGAAATTATGCTCCACTATGAAAATGCTATAGAAACATATATTCTAGTAAACCTCTTTCATTTAAACATTTTGTCGAATACTTTAAGGACATTCCAAGGCCAACACAAAGTAAATAACTTCTTTAAAATTTCCTACAAGAACATCCCTTGATTGCTCTTTCTTATTTTCAGATAGCAAATGGAGAAAAAAAAAAGGAATGAATGACCAAAGCTTCAAATCACCTAGC